TAAGAGGAAAAATGAAATTAATGTAAAATATAACATAGATTATAATCACATGTTCATTTAAACACACAAGTTTTAAGAGTAGTCCTAACTCCTAACTGGGATTCCGAAATTTTCTTGTAAAGGATACGTATGTGATTATATTGACAAGTATTTTATGAAAAATAGTGGGCACATTCATTGGGTCAAGGTGTATAAAATGCATCTATTCTACATGATTTTGAGCAAAGGAAAAACGTCATCTATCATAAAGAAAGAAAAGCATATAATTTTTTTTTTTCCTATTTCATTCATTTTTTAAAAAGCATAAATTCATATAAATATCCCAAAAGAGTTATACACTTAAGACATGTGTATATTATTTTATTTTATTTTTTTTCCTGAGATCATGGCGATTTTCGGAGGCAATTCAAAAAATTGAAAAGCCATTTTCGGAGACGAATCAGTGCCCAAAAATCTCCTCTCTTCTTCTTCCACCTCGTGATCACCATCATCGTCAAAATCAACATCCTCGTCACTCACATGAATTATCTTACGATCAACATCGCGATCATGATTATCACATATTGATGCATTGGTCTCCAATTCATTGATGGGGATTAGAGTCGCAATGAGAGCAGTATAGGTTCTCAGTTTTCATCTCTTCTGCTTCGACGACAACTCGTTAACCGTCGTCGGCACAACGCTTCACAAAGTTAAATCGCTTCGCCATGGTCTGTAGAAACTCAACGATATTACGAAGATTTTTTCTATTAATTTTGGGTAACTTTCCTTTTGTTTGAATATTAGATTTTGGGTAAGTGCCCCGATGATGAGATATCACGTGTCATCTGAAAATTATAATAATTATATATAAATAATCTTTTTTTATCTTTTGATATTTTTATTTTAGTTCATTATAAAAATAAAAATTACCTTTAAGTCTTTATATATTAAATGTTCATACTTTTTTAAATATATTAAAATTTAAATTACTCAAACCTTAATAAATTATTTTTAAATAGACTTAACTTTATATGACAATCTGTAACATATAATTATTCATATATAAGCTCAATATTGAATTAAGAATTTAACACTTTTACCCTTTACATTAATTATACATCAAGGTTTTAGTCGAGTGAGTCGAGTAATTGAAAAAAGAAAATTCTTGTATTTTCAGACCTAGATAAGATATCTTTAAAGTTTTTTCAACATTGAAATTAGGAAACTGAATATTCATTACAAAAAGGGTCATTAAACTGAATAATTTCGAGTTACGTTTTTTTAAATCAAAAGATCATCAAAAATAAAGACTAAAGAGTTGACCTAATTAGTTATGTACGTAGTTTTTTTTTTTATCTTTTCTTTCGCAAAATAGGCTTAGAAGCTTAGTAAAGTATTTTTTTTTCTTTTTTTTTTCTTTTTTCTGGACAATGTCTGTACTATGTACTCTCTCTCCAAAAATAAAAAGATTAATTACAAAAAAATATGCCATCTATTTCTAATTTATTTTCGTGATGCTTCTTAAAAAATTATAATTCAACATTATAAATCTCATTAATTTTCTTTGAAAATTCTTTCTACCAACATAAGATTGGATATATATATATATATATATATATATACGTGTATTAATATTATACATATGCGTTTTTCAAACTTTAAAGAACATCTAATTATATCCAAATGACTAGTACGAGTGCATATAGTATAAAACCCTGACAAATGAATGTTCCTTAAAAATAACCTCGGACTATATAATAAAATCTTTCAATCATGATTCAGGTTAGTCCCTATTCGTTCACAAGTACAGGCAGAGTGACAATAACCGACTTATTGTGCCAGTTTGAAAATATTTTTAAAAACGTTTTTCAATGACCAAAAATTGAAAATGTTCTGAGATACACGTTTGGCATCGCATTTCTTAAAAAATAAAATTGAAAACGTTTTCTAATTGTTCCCAAAAAAACAGCAGAAAGCAAAACGATCTATAATCGTTTCCTTTCATCTCAGTCCTTTTGAAACAACTCCTCGTACTTTCGAGAAACAACTCTCTCTCTCTCTCTCTCTCTTTAGAAACAACTCCTCGTACTTCCCCTGAAGGAGATCATGAGCTGCAGCCACGAAGGAGATCCCAAGCCTCTGCTTCTGGGGATCACAAGTTGCGGATCGTCTTCTGCAAACGACGTGGTCCCACCCATCACTAGACTTCGCGAAAGTTTGCAGCGATCACCAGAGTTCTCTATGGTTGGGCTACGGAGGAGATTAAGATCAATTCAAGACAATTGATGGGCGAGAGAGAAGCAGAGAGAGGAGAGAGAAAGAGAGGGAGAATCAGAGAGAAGTATTTTATTGCTAATGTAATGCTAATTACTATGTTCTTATGTATAAATTAACTAACAATATGTGTATGGTAATTGGTATCTTAATTGTTTTAAAAAATGTAAAACCAAACGCAGCTTTAGTTTTTTCTTGTGCTGAAAATAATTTCTGAATAAAATTATCAAACACATTTTCAGAAATGATTCTTGCTTGAGATTGAAAACATTTTCATTTCTATTTTTATATACAAAACAAATCATTTTGAAACGAGTTTCAAACGCACTCATTGTTTTCCTCGAAGACGCGAGTATGAGAACAACGATTATGCTTGTGAGAACTACGTTAAAATGTTTGTATTTGTTTGTTTGATTGCATTATGTTACCGATGATCAGGGACGAAGCTAGCCTAGACCCAGAAGAGGCTGCAGCCTCACCGGGCCCAGTTAACTTCTTTTAATACCCTTTTAAGATTTACTATTTTATCTTATTTTGTTTTGTTTAGCCCATTAAATTTTACTATTTAGTACATGTAAATCAGTTTTCAATGATTACGTTTTCATTTGTAACCCATTAAATATATAAATTTAATAATATGACGTGATAAGAATCAATTTTTATTAATTATTATAATTTTTTGGTCAACTATCTAATTAATTACAACCGTTAGATGAATATCTTACAATTAAAATAATAAAAGCTTTTGGCTTACAATTTAGATTGTTTAATGCATTTAATCATATAAGCTTTTGGCTGATGTCACTCTTTATATATATATATATATATATATATTTTTTTTTTGGATCTCTTAATTATGTCTCTCTCGGTTTTTTTTAATGTGTTTTAGGTTATACAAATTGCAAGTACAATTAAATAAGTGCAATCGCAATTATCTATTTCTTTAAGTATTATGAGTTGGAATAAATGACTCTAGTAGAAGTCCTAAGAGGAACATATAATGTTAAAGAGTGAGAAGAGAAATAAAGAGAAGGAACTGGCTCGAGTATGATGTGGTTATCTTTTGCAACAAAATGAAAACTTGTTACTTTCTTCTACATTTTTAATACTTTTTCCTATACTTTAGTGGATGCAATTGATGGCTTGTAGGAGAATTTATGCTTCCAAACCAAACTAGTTTGTTCTTGGTTTTTTTTTTCCCCTTTCTTGTGATGCTTAATAATTGGGACAAGAAGAGTTTCAATGTCCAAGAACGACCGGTAGGAGCTAAATATATATTTTTTTCTTCAAAAGAAAAAGTTTTTAGGTGCATTTTTTTTTTGTACACAATCTATATCTATAGTATACACTTGTGTATATATATATATATTCATATGAGTTATAAATTGCACAAGTGAGTCTCACAACAACACCCTAGATCAAAACCACAATCAACTTTGTCCCGAGAAGACAGAAAACGAAAAGACATTTAAAAAAAAAAGAAGAAAAGATAACAACAGCAATTTGATCAATTAATAAATTGACGTGGAGAGTAAATATCTGGACAAGGACATGTCGCGTTTACATTTCCCACCAAATTGTTTTCTTCCGTTTTCTGCATAAATAACCACTCGACAAAAAAACAAGGCGGGCACTATAGTAATAGTATTATCGCGTAGGGTTTTTAACACAATTATTCCCTAAATGTCAAATTTATCGTGGTTTAATAAATTTAATTATCTCTTAAATTTTTAATTTTAAAAATTAATTTTTTTAATTTATAAAATTATTACAATGTATTTTATTTTATTAAATTTGCTCAAATGTTTTATTAGATTTAAGGAATTATAAAATTTAAGTTATATTTGACTCAATATATTAAAATTTTTTGTTAAACGTATTTTTTTTAATATTAATTTAACACAATAATCGTTAAAATAAGACATATTATAATAATTTTATAAGTTGACGGACCAACTCGTCAAAATTAAAAATTTAAAGACAGATTGTTAAAACCACACAAGTTCAAATGGCTAACGTGTAAAATATCCAATCACATTTACAAAAGACCTCTTAATAACCCGTTTAGTTCGTTGATTCGAGTTTAAATTTGACTTTATGTGAAAATTTTTTACTGTAATAAAAAAGTTAAATGTGACTGTTTGTGAGAATTTTTAACTGTAATAAAACTCGAATTAGTGAAATAAACGAGAGGCATGAGATTACGCAAATAAAACACACACGAAACAGAGTAGCTGACGGATCACGGGGCGTCGAACTTGGAAAGTTTGAAACTTTTGAGAAAAACTCCGGTCGGCCCCTAAGTGAAGATCTCGTTTCGCTAGATTCTCGGCACGTCAATCGTTATCGTGCCCGCCTCTGCCCGGTGTGACTGTCGTCAGCCAAAAAAAAAAACAAGCGCTTCCCTCAATTGGTTGCATGCCAAAACCTGTGATCTAAGCAAATTATTCACAGCTGGCTAGAAAGAAGTTGGTCACCCAAAATCAAATCTACACATTCATTCATTCATTACTTGCATCACACTTATATCGATCCCCTTCAACGTGACTTCCTCAACCATATTTCTGACTACCTTTTGCCACGTCTGGTTTGTCTCCGTGTCACCCCTTTCGAAACTCTCAAATTAATTAATTAATGAAAAATAATTAAACCCCTCGAGGCTGGGAAAGAAAGACTGTATATAATATGACCCCATTTACTGCTGTTACTACTACTGTTTTCCCTTGTTTTTGTATTTGTATTATATTTGTTCTCCCATTTCATGATCAGAATTCAGAGCTCCCCCACCCACTCCTCTCTCTCTCTCTCTCTCTCTTGCATTATTTTTCAGCAGAATTATACAGAGTACAGGTCACTGATGGGAAGCACGGTTGTACTCTGTTTCACCTTTGATTAATTTTGCATCGCTGGATCGATTAATATTGGTATTTCACTATTTTTTTTTCCTCTTTTTCTGGTTCAAATTTTTGTATATGTATTCATGTTTTGCTTGGATACTTGATGGTGGGTTTTATATTTATGAGTTTCGTTTTCAGCCATGGACGTAATACATGAAAAATGAAACTTTTTTTTTTTTCGTTTTTTTTAATGAAGTTTGAGAAGCCCGAGAAATAAGAAATGGGATTTTTTTTTTCTTGCTCCATTTGTTGTAGTGATTAATATTATTATAATGGTTTCGATAAATAGTGCAGTTTGAAAAGGAATATTTATAGAGAGAAATTCATGGAGAGCAGAGAAGAGTGGGTTGTTTTTATTTCTTCTCTGCAAGTTCAGTGATAGTTCACGTGAAGCTTACGCAGTAATGTCCGTGAGTTTTGCGGGCAACGAGTCCGAGAAACAATGCCCAAACCCCATGATTCTCCGTAGCTTTTTTCAATGAAGCTCCGATCTGTTTCACCTCATTATTTAATGCTATACGACCTCTTGGCTTTCTCTTCACTTCTCCATAGCCAAAAATGAAGCGCCGAAAACTGGTTCGAAAATTTTGTTCGCGGTTTTTTGATGAAGATTGATCTGATCTAGTTTGATTACAATGGTGAAAATGTACTATTCTGGTTTGTTGTTCTGGTTATTGGTGATCTTGTCTGTGGCTTGTCGTCTTCCTCTGGTTCGATCAGGCGATGCGGAGGCACTTCTGAGGCTGAAATCGACGATTGATCCGAGAAACTCTCTGCCATGGCGAGAGAGGGATCGAATTCGAGTCTGCGAGTGGAAAGGAGTGAAGGAATGCATGTACGGGAGAGTGACGAAGCTGGTTTTGGAGTATCAGAACTTGACGGGGGTTTTGGAGGAGAAGATCTTGGCCGATTTGGACCAACTCCGAGTTCTCAGCTTCAAAGGGAACTCCATTTCAGGCCAAATCCCTAACGTCTCGGGACTCGTCAATCTCAAATCGCTCTTCCTCAACGACAATGATTTCAGTGGTGTATTTCCCGATTCCGTGTCGGAGCTCCACCGGTTGAAGGTCGTCATTCTGGCCGACAACCGAATCTCCGGCCAGATTCCGCCGTCGCTGCTGAAGCTCCGGCGACTCTACGTCCTCGATTTGCACAACAATCTGTTGACAGGTCCGATTCCTTCGCTGAACCAAACGAGTCTCCGATTCTTCAATGTCTCGAACAACCGGCTCTCCGGCGAGATTCCGGTGACTCCTCCTCTGGTCCGATTCAACTCCTCGTCGTTCGCCGGAAACCTTGGCCTATGCGGCGAACAGGTTCTGAATCCATGCAACAGTATCGCGATTCCACCATCGCTGAGTCCAATCTCTCCTGTAATACCTTCCTCGAGAAAGTCCTCGAATCGGACCAGACTGGTGAAGATAATCGCCGGAACCCTCGGCGGTGCGGCGGTTCTGCTAATCTGCGTGATTCTGCTGTGGATGGTCTGCCGGAGCCGGCGGCGACAGTCCTCCGGCGAGGCGAAGAGCAAAGGAATTCATCACGCAGAGGGAGTGGCGGCGGAAAGAACCGGAGGGGGAGACGAGGGCGGAACCGGAGGGAACAACGATGGCAGGAGAGGTAATAACGGCGGAAAACAGGGTGGGTTTTCTTGGGAGGGTGAGGGTATAGGGAGTTTGGTGTTCTGCGGAGCAGGGGATCAGCAGATGAATTACAGCTTAGAGGATTTACTAAAAGCGTCAGCTGAGACACTGGGGAGGGGTAGTATTGGAAGTACATATAAGGCTGTCATGGAGAGCGGGTTTATAGTAACGGTGAAACGATTGAAGGACGCCAAATACCCAGGAATAGATGAGTTTGGGAGACAGATGGACGCTCTTGGTAGGTTGAGACATCCAAATCTGGTCCCACTCAGGGCATATTTCCAGGCTAAGGAGGAACGCCTGCTCGTATACGATTATTTCCCCAACGGCAGTCTCTTCTCTCTTATTCATGGTACGTCTCACTCAAACTCAGTTCTTTTCTTTTTTTATTATTATTTTATTTATTTAGTTTGTTTGGTTTTCATTTATCTTTGCTATTTATTGATTGGGTAGAATATATAGTCGAAATTATAATGAAGGGGAGGATCGGGTGTTTATGGATGAATTATAATTTATTCCCTAAGTTTTTTCTTGGTTTATATATGATTGTTACTTTGTTATATGATAATAGAAAATGACTAGAAAAAGTTTTATTAGTGTCAGAAATTTGGTAAAGAGCAATAATATGCCTGGGGTTTAAGACTCTTGTGCTGTGTCCTACCTACTGGAAAGAAAACTAAAGGGAAAAAGGGTCCCGCATCTTGTCGAAAATAATGAAAAAATATATGTCACCCATGTGTTATAATGTTGTCTTCTTTTGCTTGATGTCTCGAAATTCTAAATGATTGTCTCATAATACATTAATTTAATCAAGTATCAAACTTAATGAAATCAGAATCATGGTTAGATATTTGACCTGACTATTTTCTTTACCCAAAGTTAAATAAAAAAATCTGGATTCTTCCTCTCTCTTTTTTTTTTTTTGGCTGAGTTTATGTTAATGTTTATATATAACATTGTCTAGTAGATCAAACTGATTGTTCTTTAGTACTGTCTATATTCTAGATAAATTCCATGTCATTTTAGAAATTTCATGAAGAAAAATTAAGCGTAACATTTAGATCCGACCAGTCACTAAACTAAGAGTAAGGGTAGAAAGCTATACGTGATTAGTTCACAGATAAAAAAAAAAAAAAAAAAGGAAAAAAAAAAAAAAAAAGAGTAGAAAGCTATCTAATTTGGTAATGTCTACAGTGTCGTAGCAAATTAATTTGGTGGATCCCATGTCCCAAACGTCCTGGGATCTTTGAATCATTCTGTGTTGTACCGTCCTAGCTTTTACCATGTGGTGGGCACTCAGCTGTGCACTCCAGTGGTCCGTCTCATTTGCTACCTGTTTTTATGAAACACGTGTAGTGTTGAAGCTCGGGCGGACATATGCAAATGTGTTATTAAAACTCATTACGATAATGATTATGATCATCTGAGACCCAAGAACACTTTTAACACGATTTTCTTTCTTAAAACTATCCGAAAAGTTAATCGTCTTTTTCTCCCCACTTTCATCACTTGGATTTATTCCTTTTCATATCATAATAATACATGCTTTTGGCTTTATCTTCTTGAAAGTGTTCATTAATTGATTTCTAGTCCTAAAGAGGAGCGCACTTGGTTATTGACAACTCATATTTTAGTCCGACTTGCTCTCCGCTTGTTTTGGTCCTGTCTCACTCATCGAGATTCCCATGGGTATTTTTCTTTCGTAAGATCTTGTCAAAATAAGCTGTGCTTCCATATGACGACTTTGACTGCTCAAGTACGGTCGCTTTGTGCTTTAGGCTTGGAGCACCACTGTTCATCCATAAGTTAAACTATTCACATAAGTGGGTTCCATTAGATGCGTAGGTAGAGCCTTAGTGGGACCTATCTTTTTCCGAGTAATGAAGATTTATCTGATGAGGATGAATACCATTTTTCTTTAGCTAGAGTAGTGCTAGTAAACGTTGATGGTGTTTCACACAACTCTCATAATGGTGCGGGTTCCATGGCTTCTACTCACTCATTGCGGATAATGGTATGGTACTATTAAGAGCACCATATTCAACTCTTATCACATTAGAACCGCATCACTTGTAGAAGATGGGTTTCACCTGATAGGACTCAATGTGGACTCTATTAGATGGGATACACCATTTGTGAGTGATGAGCTTCTAACCTCGTGGGGTTGAATAACATTTTGTACTACGAATGCTATTTATTGTTAGCATAACAAAATTGTTATTCATCCTGTGTGGATATAACCCAACATTCATAAAATGTTGGACCCCACCAGGTTATATGAGACCCATTAAGGGGGTTCACCATGTAGGGGCACTTTAAGTGCTTAATGTTTTGCGGCTTAGGACTAAGCTAGGCCTCGTAGACACACATGGGACTTGCCCTTATATCGACGATGCTTGGCTCAATATTAGGTTGCATACGTCTATTCTTTGTAATAAAGAATGTTCCAGAAAAATAATGTTGTTTGGCTGTGTTATACCACACGATATAAGACCTTTGAAATTTGAACCCTTCACATGGCATTATATGTGGTGTCGAGAGCTCTAGTGGTGCCCGTTATCATAACTCATATGAGATAGGTCACATGTAAAATTCATGTAAGATACATTTTGTGTGAGTTGTGGTGCCAAGCACCACTGATGCTTAGCAACATTACATGTTTGTATTGTTAGAATTTATTTGACGAGGCTAGCTATTTACAAGTTACAATGTCAATAGCATTACATATGGGGTTGTCCTTCAATATTGGATAAACTCACGAGCAACACTAAAATATCCCTCTTAGGTCGAGGCCCATCACTCACATAGTGGTGGGGCTCACTTGTGGGGCACACATGGGACCCACAGGTGGGCTTTACCATTATATGAGTGACGGGTCTTTGACCCAATAGGGCTAAAAAAGTTCTTCCTAAACTCTCATATATCTAAATTGTTTAACGACTATTGCATATGTGGTGTTTTGCGATCATTACTTTTCTATGGCATTTTTCGGATGTGGACTTTTTTGAAGGGCCAATATTACTTTTTGTATAAAGGACCTCTACCAAAGTTTTTAAAGAAATATGCCTTTCATTCCTATGGGGATTTATCTTGCTTACTTACATGTAGTTATTCAAATCTAATAGGACTCACATGGGCGTACAGCCACATGTAATTAGTGGGGATAAATCCCCAAATAGATGAATAGAACTGTTTTTTCATTAACAATTAAAGTAGCCATAAAGTAGTTAAGATGTGTAGACCACACTAATACAAAGTGGATCTCCTAACATGATCTATTTATTTATTTATTATTAGTGTTCGGTGTTGGATACTATTTGTTCCCTGCAGCGTAAGAAAATGGTTATTTACTCTTTTCAATGTTGTGTTTTAGGTTTATTAAGTATAACCTCCATTTTAGATTGCACCAAATGTATACCTTCACATTATATTTAAAACATAAATTCATACATTTTTCTTGGTCAACACTTGACTTTGGCCTCAAAAAGGCCCAAAATACCCACAAATAAAAAAATAAATAACTAAAAAACTAAAATTTTTTTCTTAAAATGAAAATCAATTTGTTTTTGTTTTTGTTTTACTTTTTTTTTTCTTTGATTCTAATACTATTGATGTTTTGTAGTTAAGGGTATTTTGGATATTCTCAAAGTCAAAATTTAGTGTTGACCAAGAGAAGATTTGAATTTGTGTACTAAATAGAATCTTAAGTTATACATTTGATAAGAATGATGGAATACTAAAAAGATGTTTTCTTAATAAACCTAAAATGCATAATACACATTACAAAAAGATAAATAACCCGAGAAAAAGGGGTAAAATACCATCGCCAGCTCTGCCCGAGTGAGCTTGTAAGAGTAGGGATTGGCCCACAGCCCGACTCTTTAGAGTTTTTGCTGCGCTGCACCCTTGGCACGCTTGCCGTCCTGTTTTTCAAATTTTTGGACATATATGGATCAATCCCACCTTCCATCATTGAATTAGTACGTTAAGATGGTCAGTGTTATTGTTCCTTTTTGTTCGTTCCCAAACGTGTAGTGTCACTTTCCCCTTTAAGTTTCTTGCTTCCTCCGCGACCTGCTTTATTATCTGGCAGACTGTCAAACTTGTTGGCATCTAACGGACTACTATTCCTAAGTAGCCAAAAAGAAAAAAAAGAAAAAAGTGAACTCCCATTCCACTTGCCCCAAAACATCCCCCAACCCAAGGTCGTTGCTAGAACTGTGTGCTTTCGCCACAACATTTGAAACGAGATTCGAAATTCATCATGTTTGCGCTTTGTTCTTTTTCTAGTAACGACAAAGAACAGTTTATATGTGTCTTTTGGAGGAGAAAAAGAAGTTACATGTGAACTTATTCCTTGGGAGTGATGGACGTGTTAGGCTTAGGCACCACTAACTGCTAAATGCTTCTCGTTCTTCTAGCTACAATTCTGCCACTTTGTTTGAAGGAAATGTCAAAGTCTAAGATCCATTTTAATTTGGACTTGTCGTTGCTTCTGTCCTATATCTGCTTGGCTTTGCACTTTTCCCTTTGCTTCTTTTCGCGTTCCTTCCCCCCTTTCTTCCACAAATGTTTTCAGAATAGATTCTAAACTATTTAAGACAGGTGTTTGAACAGTTTTGTTGTGATGAATAGGAGTTCTTAAATGTGATGATATGTATTATCGATGTTTGAGGAAACATTGTAAAATATTACGTGTAGTTTCATTTTTAGTTAAATTGTTTTTTTTTTTTTTTTCTATTTAAAAACTATACCCGCACCTTTCATATTTTAAATTTGAGTTTCAATTACACTAATCGTCTTATGAGAAGACAATTTGGACCTTACTTTTATAATCTATAAGTATATAAAAATAGTGGATAAGCAGGCAAGTCAACCGCCACATACCTGCCTATCCCTACTTTTTATATACTTATTGACTTACAGATCATAAATTATAGATGAGGATTAAAGAAAAGTTACATTTGTATATGCACTTTGTACACAGTGCATGTATTATGTATAAGAAAGATATTTACTCATATTCTTACTTTTAAGTTTCTAGGGGGACTTGTGTTCTTGTAGACTAGCATTTTCTTTTATCAAATTCTGCCAACTTTTCTAGTGTTGTCTCTCAACAACATAAGCCCTATATTTGATGGTACCTTTACAAATTGTAACAACAATGACAAAATGGCAAAACGACTTTAAGGGAACGTAATATCAATGGTCTAAAAATTTTGAGGCATATGATGATCTTATTGGATTGGAACCATGGCTAAGCGGTATCAATGATAGAATGGCTTTATAAGACTAGAAGTTGGGAACCTGTTTTTATCTTACCCTATGTTAGTTCAACAACTTTGTCATGACTTTCCTGTAAGTATACATTTACACCTATAAGAAAGTAGAGTTCCCGTTACTAATCCTGGTTTATGAGAATGGTTTTAGTCGAGTCATATTATGAACAGAAATCTGAAAGTTTGTTTAGTCTTTTGGGAATTTTAGATTGTAAGGTGGGCTGAGTAGTCACATACTCTTCCGGCGGCTGAATAGTGAATAGAGCTTCAGTTATATAAAATTTTCCGGTGGAAACTATTAAACCAAGGTTGCGTATAATAAATATGATCTTGTGGTTTGCTTAAATCATTGCTTAGTGAACTTTTTATATCTTCCTTCCTTTCATAATATCAAATACTTGTGCAGGTTCAAGAACTTCAGGAGGTGGAAAACCTCTCCACTGGACATCCTGTCTTAAAATAGCTGAAGATTTAGCGAGTGGTTTGCTCTATATCCACCAGAACTCTGGCTTAACTCATGGAAACCTGAAATCCTCTAATGTATTGTTAGGTTCAGATTTTGAGTCCTGCCTAACAGATTATGGTCTCACTTCATTTCGAGATCCCGATTCACTTGAAGAACCTAGTGCAACTTCTCTCTTCTACAGAGCACCCGAATGCCGCGACATCAGAAAACCAGCCACTCAACCAGCAGATGTGTACAGCTTCGGCGTTCTTCTCCTGGAGCTCCTAACTGGCAAAACTCCCTTCCAAGATCTTGTTCAGGAACATGGTTCGGATATTCCAAGGTGGGTTCGATCAGTTCGCGAAGAAGAGACTGAATCCGGTGATGATCCTGCCTCGAGCAATGAGACATCGGAAGAGAAACTTCTGGCGCTCTTAAACATTGCAATGGCTTGTGTCTCACTTGTACCCGAGAACCGGCCATCTATGAGAGAGGTTCTAAAGATGATCAGAGATACAAGGGCAGAGGCTCAAATGTCATCCAACAGCAGTGACCATTCTCCAGGGAGATGGTCAGATACAGTTCAAAGCTTGCCTAGAGAAGAGCATTTGAGCATATGAGTGGTGGTCGGTAGACAAGGCGGCCGGCTTTTAATTTATGTTTTCTGATTTATTTTTGAGTTTTCACATTGAAGCTTGATTCTTCTTTTAGGCATTTGTAGAGCTCACCTGTATAAAGGTTTTCAAGATTCATTGTTTTTCTTGTTTTTAGCTAGTTTTTTAGTTTTTAGAAGCGGAGGTTGGATTGCATTAAATTAGTCTACCTGGTGGAATGGAACTTTATTTGAGCACAGGTTTCATATAAATGGTGGTGGAAGGTAGGCACCTCCTAGTTGCAGTAGATTCATTGGTCCGATTATGATGATATAAGCCTGGTTTTAAAACCTCTCTATTGAATTGTTTCCTATCCTACCATAAAAAAGGAACATATTTTTTTGTTTCTTCCAGTCATAATTTTGTTCCTTTCTTTGCTGTAGATTTTGTCGTATATCTCTTAGAAAAGGAGTAGTGAAGGGATATCATGTTATTTACGAAATTTCTTATACAGATTGGTAAGACTGTTACCCTTAAAACCCTTTTGCTCTAAAGTTGGAGACGGAGGGGCGGAAAAAAAATATATATATATATATATTACTACTAATAGTTTGGAGGATATTCCCTTCTCTCATTTTAGCATTTAATTCTAGATGTCTACTTACGTGACATTTTTGAAATACCTATATTTGATTTATATATTCAGAATCGTGATTCAGAACCATTCTCAATTTACGCGTGTTTTTTAAAAAAAAATACTGCAATGAACCACGAATCATAACTCAAATCATGACACGAATCATCATACAAAACAAAGAGATTTTAGCCCCTCCATTAACGAACCATTTATTTTTATTTTTTATTTTTGACAAAATTTAACACGCCAATGACACGTGAGTTTTAAAAGAGAGATTTTTTTTTAAAAAAAAAAATCTAAAAGGGAAAAAAAATCATAACTAAAATAAAAAACCACCACCCAACTAGCTGCAGAAAATAATCTACCAAATTGCTTCACTCTCCAATCCCCATTGTTTTTAAGCCCAAACGATCTATGAGCCGCCCGTAAATTGCCTGCCTTAAACAACCCTGCCCTGCTTGGAGGCCGAACCCCCTGCAAATTGCATGCCTTAAACGACCCTATCCAACTCGAAACACCAAACCACCAATTGTACAGTCTTACATTTAATAGAAATCTTTCTTTTGACCCTCACTTTCCATTAATATGTTACATTTTGTCGTAAAATAGACCCTTTATAATAAAGGGGCTTCAATTGTATATTTCATAAATGTCATGGTAATTATAGATATCTAAAACTAGGGTTGTTCATGGGTTGGGTTGGTGTGGAGTATGGCTTTTTCTTTTCCCGTCTCAAAGGGTGTGGGTTGCACATATTTGATCCCAACAGTGTTAGAAAAATTTCACAACCCGATGATGTTTGGGTTAGATTGGGGCGGTGCGGGGTGAGTTGGGTGGTCGGTTTCAACATTCAAAAAATCAAAGACTCAAAGTTCAATCTAACATCAAACATGAAGTAAAGTAGTTCATCCAACATTAAACATAAAGCAAACATAAATTAGTCTACACTCATAAATTAGTCTTAACATAAAATAAACATAAAGGCTTAATTCAAATATGAAGAAACTAGAGAGTAGAAATGAGTTACCTGCCTAGAGTTAGATGTTAGAGGAGACAAATTATAACGCGGGTTGGGTTGGAGTGTGCGGGCTATTAGAGGCCACACCCACACCTAATCCCAAAACTTCGGGTCAGACAATGAATGGGCCGCAAAAAAAATTTAATACTAGAAATTACATTTTTCAAGTTGGGTTAGGCCTGCGGGTTTATGAACAACCCTATCTAAAATTGAATATCGAAGGCCAAGACAAATAAATTGAAAGCCTATTAGTGAAAATAACCAAAGATCAGGTACCTAAAAGGGTGAAGAATTGAATTTTAAGAGGGCTTTTGGATCATTAGAGGAGAAGTGAGAGATGACTGCTGTTGTTGTTTATTATTATTATTATTATTATTTGTTAGTTTTCATAGCCCTTTTATGTTTTGTGTGTGTGTGTGTTTTTATTTATTTATTTATTTAGACCTCATGATAATAATGCTCCCGATTTTTGAAACCCAATATTAATTTTTCTTTAGTTAATGACGATGTGGTACTCCATTTTTTAATTTTAGCAATTAAATCCTTGAACTCTTTTGCTAATCAAATCTTTGAACTCCTGATTTAGCAGCAATGTCGTCCAATTACTAACTGCTATCAAATATCTAACGGAAAAGAGCAAGTCATCCTTGTGAGTGTTAATTTTAGCTCAAAATTTTCCAAACTAACCCAGCAAAAAAAAAAAAAAAGATTAATCTCACAAATAGTAGGTTTGACCTTAATCCCACTTTAATCTCTGACTTTTAAAATGTTTTAAAGTTAGTCATCTGTCTCATTTTGGTCATTATGTTAGCTAAGTGTTAAATTTTTAATGGAAAATGTGGAAATTAGGAACCAAAATTAGAAACATTTATGAGATGTTTGTTTCAAGGGTTCGTCTCTGGTTCTGAATCATGGTTCTTGATTTTCTACAGTATTTTTCTCTCACAACAAATTTGAATTTCAAAAATTAGAATCATGAATCATGGTTCTGAATTTATAAATCAAGAGCCCGTTTGTTTCTTGTATTCATCCATGATTCTGAATTATGATTCATGGTTCTCTACAATATTTTTTCTCATAAAAAACACACGTAAAACGAAAATAATTCTGAATCATGATTTTGAATACACGAACCAAACGTCCATCAAATGTCCCATTAAAATTTAGGGGTTAAAATAATAAAAAAAATAAACGTTAATTTTCACAAATAATCCTTGAACTCTGGTTGTTTCAAATTTTAGTCATTAATTTATACACATTATATCAAATATTTAACACTAAGTTAACAGAATGATCAAACTGAAACGAAGTTAAACCTTAAAGAGGTGTTTAGTATAGAGTAATTATAAGGATGACAATGAGAATTTTTCAGATTCCTATTTTAATATAATTATTAGACTTTTTTAAAACTCAAAAAAATAAAACCTATAAATTTTAAATGATCACATTTTGAGAATATTTTAAACCCACTCAGCAGTATGTTATTTACTTTCTCAGGAAAGTAATATCCACGGGAAACCTCTCTCTCGTCCATTTCTCTCACCCACCCAGCTCACCCATCTCTCTCTCTCGTCCAGACCCAACCTCTCTCTCGTCCAGTCTCGTCCAGACCCAACCTCTCTCTCGTCCAGACCCAGCACCGCTTCCGTCGAGGACGCCGCCGCCGCCTTCCGATCCACCACGCCGTTGCCGGACTTTCCTCTGCCGCCACCACCAGCGTATGATTCCTTTTTTTCTCCTTTTTCTGTGATAAATTTTTGATCTGAACTTTCCGATTTGAACGTCGTCGGCATCGGCGCATCTGGGTTTGAACCAGCACTTGAAATTTTTTTCTGTTAAACTGCATCTGGGTTTGAACCAGAGCGGCCACGATTTCAAAAATCCTTTTTTGGCCACGATTTCTGGCGATGGGTTTCTGGATTTGTGATTTTTTCATCCTTTTTTGGCCACGATTTCTGGCGATGGGTTTCTGGATTTGTATATGAGTATGTTGAAAACCGTACATAGCATTTACAAATGCCTTGCTTTTTTTTAACCGAATCTTTAGAGTCAAAATGGCAATAATCCTTAATTACTCTCCACCGCCCTCAAACTTTTCAGCCAACTTTTTTTTTCCGCTTTACAGAGTACATATATGTCTCTATACGGTAAAGATGTTAACCTTTTACATAAAATACTCATATTCATTTTAACAGGTTAAAACTTCGTTGCACACGAAAAATAAGTCTAGCTGTTCTGTGGATTTGTATGATATATATGTTAAGGATATTAATCTAGTTGTTCTGTGGGGCTATACAAGAGATTCGGAGGAAACCTAGAGAGAAAATGAGAGAAGAAATGGAGGGGGAGAGAGAGAGGAGCAGGAGGAGAAAGAGATTCAGAGGGTTTTGGATTGGAAATGGAGGAGAAGACAAAGGAGCGAGAAAAAAGGGGAAATTAGCCATTGGAGGAGGGAGAGGCCGAGAGTTTCAAGAGAGCACGAAGAGAGTTTCAGAAAGATAGGTTTGAGGGTTATTTTGGGAATAACCAAAATTTCATTAATGAAATTTAGGAGATTTCCGCACAATCTGAAATCAGAAGCAGCTAGTGAGCTGCTTCTGATTTCAGCCTAAAAATAGCTTTTAGATTCTCTAAAAATTTATTTTTATGTGTTTACCAAACACATTTTTTAGCTTCAGCTGAAAAAAAAAAAATGATTTTGGCTTCCTAAAATCTCTACCAAACTAAGTTGTTATCTATGGAATTGAGCAGATGTTTGGCTGCTTTACTATTTCATGGATTGAATCCGAGTTGTGCAATATTGGCCAAGTCATTTTACTTTCTAAAACTGGTTCCTTCTTACATATACTTTGTTTAAAAGCAATCACTCCATTGCAGCTGAATAATATGTAATAGGACATTTCACTATATCAAGATTTATGTTTATGACCATAATACAGAAAATTCATCATACATAGAAACAACAAATAACAATTCCATAACCACAAACGAAGCCGTAACTCTATATAGTCATCCCCCTTTGGGAATGTTATTACTCAAATATACAATTCAAGTAACATATATAACACTTGCATTGCATTGTTGGCTGAGTCTCTTTCAACTAAAGAAACCTCTATGAATCAAAGATCGATAAGGTGAAAACACAATATATATATATATATATATTGATCATATGCCATGAATTTGCAAAAGATTCCTGTATGAAACCAAACACAATAATGTATTAATCTTAGGAATCATATTACCCTCCATCACTTTTCTGGGAATATGATTCCTACTGATTCCTGTATACCAAACGCCCCGACCAACCGTAGGACATTTTAAAAGTTAGGATACATTTTATTTTTGCCCCCCGAACTTTACTCTTTTTGTTACTTTGCCCCTCGAGCTTTGAAAATTGGTATGTGCACCCCCTGAACTTTAAAACGTTATTAACTTTGTGTATTTTGTTAAGTTTATTATCGGATTTGATGATGTGGCTGGATTATTTTCATAAATGCTCCTTGAAGTATGTACCTTATTTAAAAATGCCTTCTGATATATGAAAACGTGTCAAAATGACCCTTAATTTATATATATAAAAAAATAAAATAACAATTTTATTGATGCCATTAAAAATTAATTACACATATTAAATTCTAATGAAATCAATGAAAGCGATTACATATTAAAAATAATAAAAATATAAAACACTTTACTTTAAAGAAATTCAAAAATTAAATAAGTCGAATATTTTTTTAAATAAAAAACCCCAAAAGTAAAGTTGAAATTTTTTTTGAAAAACCTACTTCCTCTTTGTCAATATTTATTTAACTTTGAAAATTTTTCCTCTTTTCTTGTTTTGATTTTTGAAAAAAATTAATTTATTAATTTTTCAATTTTTAAATTCAAATGTTTTATATTTTTTAAATATTTAATAACTTTTCTTAATTTAATTTGAATTTAATAATTTAATTAATTTTAATGGCGTGACTATTTTATTATTTTTTATAGGGGCATTTTGATATGTTTTAATAAATTAGGGAACATTTTTAAATATGATACATGCTTCAGGGGATATTTATGAAAATAATATATTCAACTACTCATTCAATAATTATCACGTTATTAAATCCGTTAATAAAATTAATAGAAGTAGTAAAGTTAATAACACTTTAAAATTTAGAGGTGTGCAAAACAATTTTCAAAGTTCGTGAGAGATCAAAATTTAAGGGGCAAAAATAAAATTTATCCTAAAAGTTATTGCCAAAATTGGGATTGAGGTAAACCTCATCACCCCTAAAAAAATATTAAATAATTAACATTAAAGAAAAACCTTAAAATAACTCAAATGTTAATTCAAGCAAACAGAAACTAATCTGCAAGTATACATACCCAAAGATTTATATTTCCACATCATTAAGACTCCAAGAATTGAGTAAAGATATCTATATTTCCGACAAAAATAAGCCCAAAATTACTATGCCTTGCAATTTTCAAGATTCGGTTGTTTCACGCTGAAAGAGAAGTTATAATGGAAACGAAAAGAATAAACTTACTGTCATATAAAAAGAACCTTCACCATAATTTCATTCCTCCGATATTTTCCTCGACCTGCCAACTCTTAATATTTACGAGATGAAGGAGGAGCGAGGGAATCCCGGCGACTGCTTCCAGCAACGTTTTTGCCCTCTCTCTCTCTCTCGTATTTCTCGTATTTTAAGGTTTTTCTTTAATGTTAATTATTTAATATTTTTTTAGGGGTGATGAGGTTTACCTCAAACGAGAAATACGAGAGAGAGAGAGAGAGAGAGAGAGAGGGCAAAAATGTTGCTGGAAGCAGTCGCCGGAATTCCCTCGCTCCTCCTTTGCCGGAATTCCCTCGCTCCTCCTTCATCTCGTAAATATTAGGAGTTGGCAGGTCGAGGAAAATATCGGAGGAATGAAATTATGGTGAAGGTTCTTTTTATATGATAGTAAGTTTATTCTTTTTGTTTCCATTATAACTTCTCTTTCAGCGTGAAACAACCGAATCTTGAAAATTGCAAGGCATAGTAATTTTGGGCTTATTTTTGTCGGAAATATAGATATTTTTACTCGATTCTTGGAGTCTTAATGATGTGGAAATATAAATCTTTGGGTATGTATACTTGCAGATTAGTTTTTGTTTGCTTGAATTAACATTTGAGTTTTAGATAGATAAAGTTTGTTGGTGCTGATTGAGTTATAGCTTTTGGATATTTTTTTTGTGAACGGAATTGTGATTTGTCCAAAAAAAGTCTGTAATCACGAGGAACTTAAAAGCATAGAGCCCATGTTAGACTTTGGGAATTTTTGTTTTTGTTGGAATTATTCATGCGTTATTATTGTTTACTGGGGATGTTCGATTTTGTGCAAATGAAGATGTTTAGTGTTGTGACGTTGTTTGTTGCAGGGTGCAGTTTTATTGAATTGGATTGAGGAAAAAATGCATCCTCCATTAACTCTTCACAAGCATCCCATGTGTGCCGGCGTGAGTCCACTTATTGTTCTCTTCCCATATGAAATCATTAGACCATCTCTAATGCAAATGCAAATGCTATATTTGGCACCAAAAGGTTTGAAATTGACATCTTTGATATGTTATTTTCATTTGTGCTCTAATGCATAATGCGTTTTTTTTTTTTTTTTTTTTTTTTTTTTTTTTTTGTCGTAATCATTAAGCTTGGAAAGCTTTAAAAGTCTGTTAAGTTCTAAAATAATTTGAAAATGCCAATGTTGTAATGATTAAATGAAAAGGTCAATGCATTAACCGATGGCAATCAAATCTCTAAATTTTGCATATGCTATCCTTGGTGCCAAATTTGCCACCAAGTACATGCCATTTAGACCAAGAACAGCACTAGAGATTGATTTTCCTACTTAGATGCTATAATTTGGCTTTGGCACTGCATGGAGGTGTTCTCTGAGTTTGTTTATGTTATATGAACAAGAATAATCTACTCTATATATTGTCAACTAGGCAGTAGGCGCACCACACATACGCATCATTTATCACCAAGTAGAGTAAGAGGAGTTATGTAGTGGTTTTTCTCTAGCGTTGTCTGAATAGTGGTAATACAGTTGGAAAAAGATTAAAAAAGTTATGTTAACGGCTGGCAAAAGGAGATTATTATTGCTATGATTTTGGCTTTTGATAAGAAACAAATCCTTAAAGAAAGAGAACGCCTTAACGCTAAGAGAAACAAAGGTGAGCAAGAGGACAAACAGTCCTCTAAAAAGGGAGAAATGATGCTGTTGATTGTTTTCAGATGGTTCATGTCGTTAATTTTAGTATATTCATCATTTATTTTAATTATTTTGGTCATCCTTGTATAGCCCCTGCCACCCCCCCGGTCCCTTTTCTTTTTTGTGTGTGATTTTTACGTGAATCAAGTGAAAGGGAACACCATTAGGGCCCCCCAAAAAAGGTTATATGAGATAGCAGATGGATCGATAAACGAGGTATTTACTTTGTTGTTTCATGCAGATAATTGAGGAGTTTCAGAAGTGTCATTTAGACCATCCTATTGCAAAATTTTTTGGTGAATGCACAGATCTCAAGATGAAGCTTGATCGTTGCTTTAGGCAAGAAGTGAGTTTATATTATATAGGTTTCCCTTCTTCGTTGTGATTGAAATATAATGATATGTTGTAATAAAATATCCGACTTGTTCACAGAAAGCCTTGAAGAGGAAGGAAAACTTTGAACAGAGTAAGAAACTGAAGGAAAGGCTACGAGCTCTCAGGAAGGAAACTGCTGAAATCACCGAGGAGAAGAATTTTGAACAAGCTTAATTAATGGCCAAGTGAGTCTTTTTTGACAGCAGAGGCCTTTTCCATACCCGTGATCACTTAAGCATAGATAGCATATGATATAAGCTTAAGCTATTCAATATTGATTATAATGTGTTGGAAAGTGCATGGCATATTATCAAAATATTTTTTTCTTGTGTTTCACCGTATCGATCTTTGATTCATAGAGGTTTCTTTAGTTGAAAGAGACTCAGCCAACCATGCAATGCAAGCGTTTTATTTGTTACTTGAATTGTATATTTGAGTAATAACATTCCCAAAGGGGGATGACTATAAACAGTTACGGCTTCGTTTGTGGTTATGGAATTGTATTTGTTGTTTCTATATATGATGAATTTTCCGTGTTATGGTCATAAACATAAATCTTGATATAGTGAAATGTCATATTACATATTATTCAACTGCATTGGAGTGATTTCTTTTAAACAAGGTATATGTAAGAAGGAACCAGTTTTAGAAAGTAAAATGACTTGGCCAATACTGCACAACTTGGATTCAATCCATGAAATAGTAAAGCAGCCAAACATCTTCTCAATTCCATAGATAACATCCGTAAGTCATTTGTCTGATTCAGAAAAGAAGCCTGGACTTTGCAATACCAATTAGGTTAGATCATTAGTCATAATTGCAATTCTTTGGCACCTGTCATGACTTCTTGTCAGGTTACTTTAGATCAAAATATCTTCTATTTTCACCAAATAGTTTCTTTGCATATGACGTCAAGAAACCTTTTTCTTCTTGTCAGCAACAAATCAACAAAAGGGCATGCTTCATCTATGTCTAGGAAATTCCAGCGAATCGCGTCTTCCAGTAGGATTGCCTCTTCTATTCTTTGACCTCGCAGAATTTGAGCTACAAATCCTTGCCCGTGGTGTCGAACCACTTCTAGAAGACGACATCCGGTTCCCCTCTGAAACCGTGAAAATTCATAAATACCATAGCTTTATGCATTACTTAGAATGTAATGCGCTTTTTCTTTTGAGAACACACATTTGAATAGTGAGGATAGCAATATATCTTGTTGTTATCATTATCTTGTCACAATACAGTAGTAGCAAATAAAAGTCTTAACATAGGAAAAAATTTAGACCAGGGATTAAGGGAGTTAGCATGAAACTGATAAGCCTGATAAGTCGTTGCTTAGACAGGTTTATGTTAGGAAAGGGAAGAGGGAATGAGGGGGCGGAGGGTTGTGTCAGTGGTTAGTCGTTAGTAGTTAGTTAGCTGGGTAGTTGTATAGTGCGGGAAGGTACAGGGGAATGGGGGGTGAGGAAGGAAGGAAAGGGAATAAATAGGCAAGAGGTGGGATTAGAGAGTCAGGAAATTACTAGAGTCTGTTTGGGAAGTCTTGGCTAAGGCTGAGCAAGGGCGTGTCTTAGTATTGGTAGTTTAGTTTGTAATTCGTGCTGTTAATCAATAAAGATTACATCTTTCGTTCTTGATTCTTTTCTGTGGAAAACTATTCTCTGTTCTTATCATTTGGTATCATAGCATAGATTCTGGGCGAAAATGGCGGCTAGGAAAACTGATGAAAGGTTCGAATTGGTGGAGAAGGAGATCAAGGAAGTTAGGGTTTCCATGGAAAAGGGAATTGGTGAGACGGAGAAAGGGCTCGGGGAGGTCAGGGTGGAATTATCACAAAATAGGTCGGATTTGTCTGATACCAATTGTTATAACCCTTGGGTAGAACTCATCCCTAAAAGCTAGCTTGTAGGGAGAGGGTGCCCAAGTGGTTATAAACCCACATGCTAAGCCCATACTTTAGCAATGTGGGGCTCAACCAGGATCCTAACATATCACTATGCTTCTGACACTGACGTCCACGGCGGCCCACTCTGGCGGAACAAGTGAAACTTCTGTCGGCATCAGCGTCGGCGCCGGAGAAGACGGTTGCCCAAATGACCACGACCGAGGTGGATCGCGCCGGAAAAGGCCGCGAGGAGAATCGCGCCGGAAAAGGCCGCGAGGAGAATCGCGCCGGAGAAGACCACGAGGCGAATCGCGACGGAGATCGTGTAGCGATTCGCGCTGGGGAAATTCGTGAGGCGAATCGCGTGGAGATACGCGCCGGAGAGGAACTGTCGGTGAACCCTAGGGTTTTGCAGAACGTGCTGTGTCCAGCGGGAGACACTGGGTGGCGCGAGCAAGGCGTAGATCGGGCGGCGGAATTTAATGGCAGAATGGCCGCAGACCTTTCCATAGCTGGGCATAGTTTAAGGTGGCGTTGTTGCAGCGCTTTCGTTCTTCGCAGGAGGGCAATCTTTGTGAGAGGTTCTTGGCGATTCGGCAAGTAGGAACGGTGGCCGAATATCACAAGCAATTCGAAGTTTCAACAGCCCCACTACGGGATGTGCCGGAAGAGGTTTTGGAAGGAATCTTCGTTAATGGGCTAAAAGCACGGGTTCGGGCTGAAGTGAGGCTTTTGAAACCGGTTGGGTTGGGGGAAATCATGGAGATTGCTCAAAGATTGAAGAGAAAAATGAGTTGCTGCGTCGAGAAGGGTCGGAAACAAGGTTCTCGAGACCACAATTCCATAGTGCTCAGAGAGCTGAGTTTTCACCAACTCTTGTTCGGACGATGCCGGTGGTAGATCGATCACAGCGAGCTCTTGCTACGTTAGAGAAAACAGCAACTCAAAGGCGGGATTTTCCATTTCGTAAGTTGTCGGATTCTAGTTGCAAGAGAAGAGAGATAAGGGGTTGTGTTTTAGGTGCGATGAGAAGTTTACTTTTGGTCATCGAAAGAAAGAGCTTCGGATAATGCTCGTTAGTGATGAGGACGTAGCCGAGTGCGAAGAGGAAGACCTAGTTTTGCCAAGTTCGGAATGGGAGGAAGGGCAGCCGGAACTCATTGAGTTGTCTTTGAATTCAGTGATAGGACTTTCGACACCAAAGACTATGAAGCCTCGCGGCACAATTGCTCGGCAAGAGGTAATTGTTCTAATTGATTCCGGTGCAACCCCTAATTTCATTTCTTTGAGTCTTGTGGAGAGGTTGTCGATTCCGATTGCGCCCACTGCGGGTATTGGGGTACAACTAGGAACGGGAGAATCGGTTAAAGGGAAAGGAATTTGTAGGGAGGTAGCATTGAATTTAGCACATTTGACCATTGTGGAAAATTTTTTGCCGCTGGAATTGGGAGGAGTGGATGTTATTTTGGGCATGCAATGGTTAGAAACATTGGGTGGAGTGCATGTGAATTGGAAGTCTCAAGTAATGAAATTCAAGGTAAGGGGAGAGGTGGTTACCTTAAGGGGAGACATGAGTCTTTCCACCCCGATGGTTTCCCTTAAGGCCATGTTTAGGACCATTAAGCATGAGGGCCATGGCATCTATTTGGAATTGTGTGCTTTGGATGTCAACAAGGAACCGGATTTGGGTGCAATGGTGGAACTGGATTAGCAATTTCAAGGGCAGATTCGTGAAGTTTTGCAGCGACATTCGGGAGTTTTACACATGCCTGAGGGACTTCCTCCCCAAAGAATGCGTGATCATCGCATTATCCTTCAAGAGGGTACCGCTCCTATTAGTGTCAGGCCCTATAAATATCCTCACTATCAAAAAAATGAGATTGAAAAGTTGGTGAGGGAGATGCTTTCGGCTGGTATCATACAACCTAGTAGCAGTCCATTTTCAAGTCCAGTTCTCCTAGTTAAAAAAAAAGATGGCAGTTGGCGTTTTTGTGTTGATTATCGGGCACTTAACAAGGCCACAGTTCCCGACAAGTTCCCTATTCCAGTAATAGAAGAGCTTTGGACGAATTGAGTGGGGCCACCATCTGTACTAAATTGGATTTAAAATCTGGTTACCACCAAATTCGGATGTGTAAGGAAGATATTCCGAAAACGGCTTTCCGAACGCATGAGGGTCACTACGAATTTTTGGTTATGCCTTTTGGGTTAACCAATGCCCAGGCCACCTTCCAATCTCTCATGAATGAGGTATTGAAGCCTTTTTTGCGGAAATTCGTGTTGGTATTTTTTGATGACATTTTGGTTTATAGTAGATCTCTCCATGTCAACCATTTGGATGTAGTTTTTTCTGCCTTGGAGAACAACCATTTATATGTGAACCAAAAGAAGTGCACTTTTGCGAGTAGTCAATTGGAATATTTGGGCCACATTGTGTCTGGAAAAGGGGTTTTGCCTGATGCTAGTAAGATTCAAGCAAGGATTGGCCCACCCAACGTTTTATCAAAGAGCTGCGGGGTTTTCTTGGGTTGACTGGGTATTATTGGCGCTTTGTGTTGGGGTATGGACACCTTGCTTGGCCGTTGACGCATCAATTAAAGGACAATTTTAATTGGACTAGGAAAGCTGAAGACGCCTTTCGGCAATTGAAGCATGCCATGACTACGGTTCCAGTTCTGGCTCTGCCGGATTTTTCCTAGCCATTTGTAGTGGAATCAGATGCTTCGGGGTTTGGGATTGGCGCGGTCTTGATGCAACATCAGCGACCCATTGCCTATTTCAGTCAAGTGTTGTCATCGCGCGCACATACAAAATCTGTTTATGAGCGCGAGCTCATGGCAGTGGTCCTCGCCATCTAGAAATGGCGCCATTATTTACGGGGGCGCCATTTCATTGTGTGTACGGACCAAAGGAGCCTTAAGTTTTTGCTGGAGTAGAGGCTGGTCAGTGAGGACCACCAGAAGTGGCTGATGCGCTGTCTAGGCAGTCCTCTGGTTTGGAGTTGGTGCACCTCACCACTTCGGCGATTTATGATGGGGCTGAGATTTGCCAACAAATTCAACAGGACCCCCGGTTGGCTTCGATTCGGGCTGCTCTTTGTGCTGATTCCGCAACTGTGAAGGGGTTTTCCTTGAGCAATGGCATGTTGCTTTACAAGGGTCGTGTTGTCCTGTCCCGGCAGTCTCCTCTCATACCCGTCCTCTTGGCAGAGTTTCACAGCAGCAAGATTGGGGGGCATTCTGGAGTCCTAAAGACGTTTAAAAGGTTGTCTTCGGAGTTTTTTTGGTATGGCATGAAACGGGATGTGGTCTCCCTGGTGGCCGCTTGTCAGGTTTGTCAATAGAACAAAGCTTCCACCTTGTCTCCAAGGGAGTTATTGCAGCCTTTGCCCCTTCCAAATCAGGTGTGGGATGATATCTCCATGGATTTTGTGGAAGGCCTTCCAAAGTCGGCAGGGAATGACTCTATTTTAGTGATCGTTGACCGGTTGAGTAAGTATGCTCACTTTTTGGCTCTTTGCCATCCTTTTTTCTGCGAAATCAATGGCTGCTCTGTTTGTTAGGGAGGTGGTTCGGCTCCATGGGTTCCCTCGGACGATTGTCTCCGACCGCGACAAAGTTTTCCTTAGCCATTTCTGGAAAGAGCTTTTTAAACTGCATGGAGCTTCCTTACATCACAGTACGGCTTACCATCCTCAATCTGATGGCCAAACGGAGGTGGTTAATCGATGCTTGGAAGCTTATTTACGTTGTTTTGTCTCAGGGAAACCTACCAACTGGTTTTCTCATCTTGCTTGGGCCGAATATTGGTATAACACGAGCTTCCATGTTTCTGCGGGAATGACTCCTTTCTGGGCTTTGTATGGTCGTGATCCTCCCAAATTGTTACGCTTTGAGTTAGGCTCTACAGTTAATTCTTTGTTGGAGCAGCAAATGCAATCAAGAGATGCTATTCTGGATGAGCTTCAAGCACATTTGTTACAGGCACATCAATCTATGAAATGGCAAGCGGATCTTAAGCGTAGGGATGTGTTTTTTGAGGTGGGGGACTTGGTGTTTCTGAAACTCAGGCCATATCGCCATCGTTCTTTAGCCAAGTTCTCCAATGAGAAGCTCTCTCCGCGGTTCTATGGTCCCTATAAGGTGGCTGCGCGTGTGGGCTCGGTGGTGTATCGTTTGCAACTACCCGCGGCTGCTAAAATTCATCCAGTTTTCCATGTTTCACAGCTGAAGAAAGCCATTGGCTTATCTGTGCCGGCTCAGGAGGTTCCGCTCCCTCTAATCGCTGACATGGAGTTACGCGTCGAACCGGAGAAGTTGCTGGCCACCCGTTTTTCCCCGGTGACTGGCTAGTTGGAGGGTTTGCTTCAGTGGCGTCACTTGCCGGATTTTGAGGCTTCTTGGGAACTTTTCGATGTCATTCAACAGCAATTCCCTGAATTTCACCTTGAGGACAAGGTGACTTTTTTTGGGGGGCGGAGTAGTTGATAAGCCTGATAAGCCGTTGCTTAGACAGGTTTATGTTAGGAAAGGGAAGAGGGAACGAGGGGGCGGAGGGCTGTGTCAGTGGTTAGTCGTTAGTAGTTAGTTAGCTGGGTAGTTGTATAGTGCGGGAAGGTACAGGGGAATGGGGGGTGAGGAAGGAAGGAAAGGGAATAAATAGGCAAGAGGTGGGATTAGAGAGTCAGGAAATTACTGGTGTCTGTTTGGGAAGGCTTGGCTAAGGCTGAGCAAGGGCGTGTCTTAGTATTGGTAGTTTAGTTTGTAATTCGTGCTGTTAATCAATAAAGATTACATCTTTCGTTCTTCTTGATTCTTTTCTGTGGAAAACTATTCTCTGTTTTTATCAGAAACTTCTCCAAGGTGCCTATCTGGACCTTTATGACCCTCTTAAGAAGGTTTTCACACGACCTACTTAATGTATCTATTTGTAATTTGCAATGAGCTTACTCTTACATGACAGAAACAAATCCCAACTTATCTACTTGCCAAGATCTTTTGCCAATCGACTCCCGATTCCGGCCTTACTCTGCTGCTCAGGATCACTAAGCTGCAAAAGCTCAAGCTTTGAAGTGCTTTCATTTTTCAGCATTGCTTGCTAGTCATCCATGGGCTGAATAACAGGACAACTAAATTGAAAATGTTCTTGAAGATTGAGATTGGCTTGGCCTTCAGAAGTTAAAGCTAAGAGATTTTTGTGTTGCAGAACTTAAGGTAGCAATTCTTTGCAAGAACTTCTAACGACTTCTAACACTGGTTGGTGACTCTCGCCTTCAAGATTGCAAACTCCGACTTCCGAAACGAGAACAGGAGTTGGTGGTGCAGTTCTTTGGAAACATATCCGTTGGAATGGTTTTGCTGATCCCTTGTTTCAGGGAAAGGCACAGCCAACTCAAGTAGGTTAGAACAAAACAAGACAAGATGTGTTTTTTTCTTTTGTTTATTGTTGTGTTTTTGTTTAAATAAGGTTAAAAATACTTAGAGGGTGAAAAGAAAACAAAGTTGGAACAGCAAGGGATAATATTATCTGAATTTTTTGGAAAAAAAAAAAAAAAAAAAAAAAAAAACCAGTGATCAACTGTTTATGCTGTGGACAGATGATGAGAAATTTTTAGCTGGTAAATCTGGTAGTGCAACTCCAACCTACAAAATTCTAGAATTCTATCATCAAGAAAGATCATGTGGCATCATATAATGTGCAATCATCGATTTTCTCTCTCCATTTTACCTTTTTATTGATAATAAACGAATGAAAAATGGGGCTCACCCCGCAAGAGGGTACGGTCTGCTGAAATAAAAAATCTAACAAAAAATAATGTCCAAATGGCTAGCAATAGAACTGAGAAAATCTAACAAAAGTACCTAACAGATTACCCAAGTATAATGGTCTAGAACAATGAAGGATATTAAACTCTCCTAGATAAATAATTAAAAAAAAAACTATATAAGTAGTTTGGCATTAAAAAGGATCAAAAGTTTCAAAAGGATAAAAAGTTTCATGTGGTAATTGAGTGACTCGAGCAGGAAAGTGCTACATGAGGCTCTTTTTCTCTTTTCTTTGGGATTGGAAGAATATATTGTTATTTTATTGAGATAAAAGTGAGGAAGGAACCACATAAAAGAGAAGAGGAGTCATGCTGGGAGTCCAAAATTGCAAGCACTGGCACACAAAACTGATCTGGACTTGAAATTTAAGTAAAAATTACCCTACATGGCATGCTTACAAGAGTGAAATTGAAATAACACAAGTTTTTAGAATATTTTAAGAATAGCAAAATTTCATAGCAATCGTCATGATGATTTTTAAGTTTTATGCTACAAAATTAAGTAGCAATTATTATAATGATTTTAATTTTTTCTGTTCGCAAAATATTCTTAATTAAGTGAAATTAAACTTAAGCACGAGATTTTCTTCTCTCAACTTCTAAGAAAGAGCATAGCTTATTAATTTTCTAAGAACTTGAAATGACATTGAGAACTACAGCACTCACTTCTTCAATTTTTAGCACAGCATCGAGGACAACATTCTTTTTTAGAGGTTGGGAAAAAAAAAAAAAAAAAAAAGAAAAAACACTTACACGTTAGAGTTTCTTAGGGGAAAAAATGAAAAAAAAAAGAAAAAAAAAAAAAAAAAAAAACCTTTACCCGTTAGATTTTTTTAGGGGAAAAAATGAAAAAAAAAAGAAAAAAAAAAAAAAAAAAAAAAAAAAAAAAAAAAAAAAAAAAAGGGAGAGAAGTTAAAGGTCTTATTCAGCAATATCGTACTTAAACATGATAGGACAAGCATTGCACAAAGACTTGACGAATCTCTAGAGCATGCAGAATTAGGTCAAGTGTATAATTGTCTAAATAAATATATTGCTAAATAGATAATAATAAAAAAAAAAACTTTGTTGAGCGTGAGCACAGTAAAAACCCAGCCTTGAGGCTGGAAACATTGAAAACGGATAATCTGAGAGCTATATATTGAGCAAAAGTAGAAGAAAAGAAAGTTGAAATCAGTTCCACATGATAAGCATTAATCAGAAGATGTGCAGTTCTTGTAGTTCCAAACAACTAGGATTCCGAGATTTCTTTTAAATTCATCCAGATCGCCTTTTTTTTTAATTATTAATTTAAAGGAAGAGTGTATTATTATATTGAAAACTATTTTTAACATCTTTCTTTTTTTTTGGATTAGAAAAGCATAAATTTAGAGTACATAAATATTCATGACATCTATTAAATAAACCAGCCATAATCCACACCTAACTAATTAATTAAAGACTTCTCATGCAGTGAGTACAACGACGTAACATACTCTCATGATTGACGAAAGTTACATAATAGACGTAACAGTAGTACTCGAGGGTTCAAAAACAGATTCAAAGAATGGAAAAGCCAATATTTTCGGAGGCAAATCGCCGTCGCCGTCAACTGATCTCTTGATCTCCTCTTCTTCCTCACAATCACCATCATTACAATCGATATTCTCATGATCGTCATTATCATAATCATCACATGAATTGGCCTCATGAAATTCATTCACGGGAATGAGGCTGACAAGGAGACGCCCGTTGGCCCTACGCACTCTCAAGCCGTAATGGTTCTCGTCTCTTATCTCCTCCGCTTCGATGACAACTCGCTGACCTTCATCGGCGCAGCGCTTCACGAGGTTGAATCGCTTTGTTACCGTTTGTAAGCGGCCTGTCTGTCGCGCCAACGACGTCGTTAACCGCGGCGGGTACTCCCTCTTCGCGGTGGCTGTAGCAGCAGCAGCAGTGCGATTTCTTCGTCGGGGCTTTGCGGTTTCTAGGGCACCAGTAATACTGCTACTGAAAAAGCCGTACTGCTCCATTCTTTGGTATTGATTGAGAGTGACAAGAAAATATGTTCAAGCTTATGCACATATTATATATATAGTGAAAGTCCTCGTGTATAATTAGTAAGTCGGTGTTTTTAAATTCAGTATGTATATATATATTTTTTTTATGAGTGATATTAATACGATGGAAGATTTGTTTCTATTTTTGGCTAATTGGTTGCACTTTTTTCCATTTTGCTGGAATTTGATTTTGGGTAAGTGCTTCTTTTTTTGTTTTTTTTTGTTTCCCTTTTTAGGTTGCAAAGAAAGGAGAACTTTTAGCCTTCGTTAATTAACTCGAGGCCTTAGTAAGTAGATAAATTAAAAGGGAAAGTTACCATATAATTTTGGACGGTCAAGATCTTTGAAGCCTTTTCAGAGTTTGATTTGGATTGGTAAAAGTAGACTTTAGAGAATCATTTCTCATAATTTTCAAGCCCGTTCGGTTCGCTAATTTGAGTTTTTAATTTGAATTGAGATGTGATGTTGTGTGAAAATTTTTTACTGTAACAAAAAAGTTAGATGTGACTGTTTTTAAGAACTTTTTACTGTAACAAAACTCACATCTGCGAAAAGAACGGGACAATGCACTCGCCATGGATGTAGTTGTGAAAGCTTGAGTTGAGTCATTCAATGGCATCAATACTGTCTAAGATTAAGAAACAAGTTTCGGTGCTTATCAAAGCCCTTCTGTTTTACCTTAAAAAAAAAAAGTTCCTTACTTTTTTTTTAATTTTTTTTATTGTACTTTTTGTGTTCTCTCCACATATAGCAAAATTGAAATAATCAATCAAAGTAATAGCGAAAATTTTAAAATATTATAAGAATAACTTAATTTGATATTATTAAAATAGTAGTAATGACTATCATTATAAGTACTGGATAATGTCCGGTCGCCGTTTCTATTCATTAGGTATTATTGTAAATACATTACAGCTTGCATGTCATGGAAGTCATTTGATAGGAATTTTACTATTTATTTAATTCATAGATTTACATTATTTTGCATTAAAAACGACGCTGTAAGGTCATGTTATTTGTGAGTAACTGTTTGTATTGGTTGAAGTTAACAGAGGGCGTTGTGGATCGTATAGAAATTTCAATAATGAAAAAGCAGTACAATTATTTTATGATTTCTAACCCCCAATTCATTTAAAATTATGTATTTGTCCCTATGTATTCAATGTTTTTTAATATTTAAATGGAGCGGAATTTTATTTGTATTTGGGCCGTTTGGTTGAAGAGCCACCCAAGCCCAATTGTGATGTGAGAGCTCGCAATTGTATGTGTTCTATTAAAACGGATCACGTTGAGAGGTGGTATGAAGTTTGGAAAACGAGAAAATTTTAACTATTATTTATGTGCTACACAAAATTTTAATACTATTACAAAAAATAACTTGTAAATTATAAAAATATAACTTACAAATTATAAAAAATAATATGCAGGTTGTGAAAAATAAACTGTAAACTATAAAAAGATAACTTAAAAATGATTAGTGTTATGAGATAAATTTATAACAATGGTATAAACGAAATAGTGTTATTTTAACGATAACATTTTTAGTTCTCTTAAAAAAATTGAGTTAGCGTCTTACGTAAAACGTGTTGTAACCAGCACAAAAAGTACACGGTCGATTGATTTAATCATCCTTCAAAAGGTTTTCCTTTACTTTTTTTTTTCCTTCTTAATTCAAAGAACAATTGGTTTTACTTAATGGACGTTTGGTTCATTGATTTAGAATTACGATTCAAAATTATTCTCGATTTACATGTGTTTTTTGTGAGAAAAAACACCGTAACGAATCACAAACCATGATTCAAATTATAGTACGAATCTACTAACCAAACGTAGTCTTATTGATTTTATTACTGGAAGTGAGGAATTTAGATCAACTTGTTCATCACTACAGTTTCTAGTTCAACATGGCCAACCATAATTAAATCGAATTAGACAGATTTTAGATTTATCATTGGCCTTGGTTCAAATGTCACACTGACAATGAGGAATTAATTATTGCTTTTAAAGTTCAGGGATAAACTGAAAATGACCGTAAATTCAAGGGTATAGGTGAGATTAACCCTAATTTTAAAAGGTGCAATGTTAGGGTTTAAGCCCAAAAAAAAAATCAGATTTAGGAAGTAAAATAATATTGCAACCTCAAACTCGTATATAATCGATGAACTAGTAAAGCAGAAGCAGCCAAACATCTGTTCAAATCCATAGATATATCTGTACAAGTCATTTCTCTGATTCAAGAAAGAAGTGAAGCCTCAACTTTACAATACCAATTAGGTTAGAACTTAGATCATAACAGCAACTCTATGGTATAGACTCTGTTTTGTATCTATCTATGACTTCCAGTCAGGTTATATACTTATGTTATATCAAATCTCTTCCATTTTCACCTTAAAAAAAAAAAGGTGCATGGCATGTAAAAAACCTCTTTTTTTTTTCTTGTTTCAGTGAAAGGTTTTCTTCTGTACTTACTTTATCTATGTATCTCGGAAATTTTGGCGAATAGCGTCTTCCAGCAGGATTGCATCTTCAATGCTCTGACCTTCCTTCCAGACCATTAATTTGAAATCCTTGTCCATTTTGTCAAAGCACGTCTTAAGCGAAGACAGCCGATATGGTCCCCCTCTGGAACCATGAGCACTCATAAAATACCATAATGAAGAACTGGCATTCTCATGCGTTTCATGTCCAGTTTCAGTCTTGCAGGCTCGTTCGTCATCATCGCTCAATTCCACAATCTCAACCTTTGAACTCCTTCGGTTTTCTTTAGACACAGATCCTTTAGGTTGCTTTCTTTTGTCTCTTGTTCCTGAGGCATCTGTAGTTAGCAAAGAGAAAGAAAATATGGCAAAATAAATTCAACTTAAGAAAGTTCTCAAAGGTTTGCAAACCGAATATATTGGCCAAATATTAGGCCAATATCTCAAGTAATTCTGAAAGACACGCTGCTTGTTTGTCTAATACCTAATAAGATATGAACTTATTGTCTTCTTTCTTCTGTCATGGACTTCTAGACTAGAATAGAGTTTTACCATAGTTTGGTGCATTACTTAGAACGTATCGCCTTTTTTTTTCCCTATAGTGAGGATAGCAATCTATCTACCTTATATCATTATATTGTCATATTACAAATTTACAATAACAAATAAAAGTCTTAACATGGGAAGAGTCTCATCATATCTTGTCATATTTGAGTGAGTCGAAGCATGAAACTTTTGCAAGTTGTTTATCTTGACATTACACCCTCTTAAGAAGGTTTGGACACAAAACTACTTTCAATACCTATCTATGATTTGGAATGAGTATACTCTTACATTACATAAACAAAGCTCCTCATTACTTTCACTAGAGCTTACTTTCCGTTTGGTTGGCGAAAAAGAGAAAGGAAAGGAATGATAATGGAATGGAAGCGGTGTTTTCAGTTGTTTTGTTTAAATTAGTGTTATTTACATTTCATTCTATTGTTAAATCATTGTTTCGTGATAAAAATTCCAAAGTCTCAACCAAAAACACAGGAATTATTTTCTCTATCCATTCTATTCCTATTACCATTTACCATTCCATCAACATTTCAACAATGCAACCAAACGTGCAAAAGCTTGTCAAAGAATCTCACAAAACAAACATGATTATGTTCGATGTGGGACAGAAAATTACAAATTTTGAGTTTTACTAGGATTTGTATTTTATTTCATTATTATCTATAAGAATTTGAGTTTTATTAGGATTTCTATTTTAATCTATGTTTATATTGGGTTTGATTACAATACTTTACTATTCAGATGCTTATCTATTTAAAATTTTATTTGAATTAGGATTCATAAAGAGTCTAGGATTGATTAGCCTATAAATTAGTCTTTATCCTTGTAATGTAGTTCAGTTTTCATTATTGTTATTATCTGTTAGATCTGAAATTTCAACATCATTTTAGTTTTTTTTTTTTTTTTCCTAATTCCTATGCGTGACAACTAATAAATAGTGCCCTACATTTAATTTTACTTACCAAGATCCTCTGCCAATCGATCAGCCTTAGATAGCTGCTCATTGTCACTCAGCTGTATAACCTCAACCTTTGAAGCACTTTGAATTTTACTTTGCTCGAGAATATTGAGATTGGTTTGGCCTTCAGAAGTAAAAGCTGGACATTTTTCTTTCACAACTTCTGGAAACAATTCTTTGCAACTTCTATTCACTTCCAGAACTGCATCGTGGCTCTCACCTTCAAGAATGTCATTCCCAACTTCAGGAGAATGAGATTGCTGGGGCAGTTCTTTCGAAACAGATCCTTTGGAGTGGATATGCTCATCTCTTGTTTCTGGGAAAGCAACGGCCAAGTCAGCAGGACAGAACAAAATAAGACAAGATGGTTTTCATTTTTTGATTAAAACAACTTCGAGGGCAAAAAGAAAAAAAAAAAGAAACAGCAAGGGACAAGGTATTAGGAGTTGAGGACCATAATATCTGCAATTTGCTGCAAAAAAAAAAAAAAAAAAAAAGTTTTTTTTATGTGGAAAAAAAAAAAAAAAAAAAAAAAAAAAAAAAGAAAGAAGTTCATTCGTTTATGCTGTGAAAAGATATGATGAGAAATTTTTAGTTGGTAAAAAATCTGATTGGTGTCCTCCAACTGACAAAATTCTGGAATTGGATCATCTAGAAAGATAATGTGGCATTATACACAATAATGCAGTCATCAATTTTCTCTTTACATCTTACCTTTTTTATTGATGAGAAACAAAAAGTAAAGGCTATGGGAAATCCGATGACCATAGAGAACAAAAGTTCTAAAAAAACATTACAAGACACCCTTCTAACTCATGTTGCAGAAGTAGAAAACGTTTGTATTTAAAGGGTGAACCAAAAAAAAAAGAAAAAAAGAAAAAAAGGAGTGTAATCTCAACAGAACTGCTTCATTTTGTTTCCAGAGAAGGAAAGAATAATATTATACATCCACGAAAGACGCGGAATCTTATATTGGTGATAATGTAGTGAGAACATTGCATAATTTAACAAAGTCTAGGAATAAATTTCCAAATGGCTAGCCTTAAAATTAGAAAATAAAATATCACAAAAATACCTGATAATTTACCAGGTAAAAATGGTCTATAATAATAAATGAAATTCAGTAAAGATGTTCGTACCAATTCAAACCCTTCTAATAATAACTCCAAAAAATAAAATTATAAGATAATATGAGATTGACAAGGAAGAAAGATATTAAAACAACCTACAGTACCTAATTCATTATTTATAGATTAAATCTACGCTGAAACAAGATTTGATTTCACTTCGCAACCTCTAAATATCTTTTAACCGATGGATGGAATGGAACAACAAAAAGACAGACGAAAGACAATAACATATCTGGACTGAGAACAAGGTAAGGAATATAGAGTAACTAGAAGCTTAAAAACGACTGCACATGGGTACCAGTTTGGCAGGAAAATATTCCGCTGCCCATATCGGTTTTTGGAGTTTGTGGAGAAGACTCCCAATCCCAAGACAGTGATTCATCCGAGCTATTAGGTCCATCTTTTGCCAAGTCCTGAGCATCAGGTTCAAGCTCTGCAATGACTTGTGGAAGGTCGTTTAGTAACCGTGATTGCTCTATTGGGTCATTAAGCAGCTGCATTCTATCCATATATTCACAAAGCGTATAATGTGGGTTAAGGGCCACATTATTCAAAAAAAAAAAAAAAAAAAAAAGGTTCCACATGTGTTATTTGAGTACTCAAGCAGGAAAATGCTACATGCTGTTCTTTTTTTCTTCCTTTTTCTTTTCCCATCTAGGAATGAAAGAAGCTAATAAAAGATAGGAGAAAATAAAAGTGTCCAAGCCTTGAATAACTAATTAAAACTTGGGCCAACAGTACAAAGAGGCGGTAGCTGATTTTGTTTAGTAGTTTATCATCACACATACTTTGGACTCGCTGGTAATATGACTGTATATAGCACATACCTATGATATAGTTATTTCCCCCATGACTCTTGTATGTGTAGCACATAAATAATTAAGAAAAGGATATTCTCTCCTCCATCCCTTTTCGTTTGCCTGTTCAATTCGCTTCGGCAGAAGAGCCAGCTCCCTTGCAATCCACTGACATTAATTTGTTCAAATGAGGCAAAGCTCAGAGAAATCAAAAGCTAGTGACAGATCAGATAGTCACAATCTCTCTCAGCTAAAAAGTGATCTGGACTTCAAAATTAAACTAAAGCCCAACTTTTCTCTCTCTCCCATCTTCAAAAGTGACATTAATTTTTATTTGCTAAAAATCTTGAAATGACATTGCGAACTGCAGCCCTCAGTTCTTCAATCGATAGGCACAACATTGAAGACAAGCAACAACATTCTTTTTCGAAAAAAAGAAAAGAAAAGAAAGACACATACATGCTTAGTAATGTCCTCATGTAAACTTCTGGCTTTTTGGTCAAGCTCCACCTATAAAAAGGAGATTTCATTATCCATGCTGTCACAAAAACTCGGAACTACGTGGATGCTTGCCTAAAAAGCAGAGCAACAATGATAGGGAAAACATTGCACAAAGACTGGAAGAAGATTCATTTCTTTGGAACATGCAGTATATTTTGCTACATTTTGATAAAGTATAAATAGAAAACTTGTTCAGCACAAAACCCTGGCTTGAGGCTGGAAAATAAATAAATAAAAGAAAAGAAATTCGAAATCAATTTCACATAATCTAAATCAGAGACGTGAAGTTCTTCTAGTTCTAAACACTATGACAAATAGTCAAATACACACAGCACTGAGAAAAATTTTAGTTTTTTTATTTTTTTCCTAAACTTAGGCTTAGGGGACTTCCAAAACTCTTGGAAAATTTTGAGAATAAGTCTCTTAAAAAACTGGGGAAAAAGAACAACAAATTTTACCCTATACGTTTCATGAGGAGCAGTATTTTGTAAAATGACAATTATCATACCCTAAGAAAATAAGAATATTTTTTGGAAAATAAGAATAGCTTCAGTTTTTCGAGAAACAAACCATAAGCAGTGATGAAGTTCTTAAAACCTGTAAAAGATGGAAAGATTTCAATGGTTTTTGGCTTAATGAAGTTCAACACTTATGCATAATTGTAATAACTATGTCCCATTTCAAAATTACCTCAAGTGGAAGTGAATTCTTTGCAAATGTCTATGAGGGCAAGAAAACCATCAGAAACTATACCAATCACATCGCATACACTTTTCATAGTTGTCAAGAAAACTGCCATTAGATTAGTCATTATTTATATAGAGCTCAAACCAGAAGTTGAGTTACAGAAATGACATGCTTCCACATGCCTCGTTTTGGACCATCTACAACATTTTTAATCAAGTGATACACCTTGCATTAATTAGTATCAGCCATCCTATAATCAATCTTAATCAAAATATCAAACGAAGGTATGAAAAATGAGAAATAAGTATACAGCCAATATTGTATAGTTATGATTTCTAATTGTGATTAAGTTCTTGGCAGAAACACTAAATTTCTTATGCATGAAAAAACATACAACGGTGGGCTTTTTAAGCAGGCCATCTTTAATTCTCTGACACAAATCTTCACACTCTTCCTGCACATGTATCATAAATTAAGTTCATAATTTCCTTTTATTTTACTAGCAAAAAAAAAAAAAAAAAAAAAAAGAAAAATCTTTTGGAAGAAACTTATATACCATATAAACGTACAACAACTATTGAGTAAATCATACTGGTTCCATTTTAGAACCACCGGCCTACAGACGAATAATTCAGATAAAGCTTTTCACCGCATACCTTAAAACCATATCCTATATCTTATTTTCTTTATGAATTAACTAAAAAGAAACAGAAAAAAACAATTGAGACGTCTTAAATAATTCAGACAAATTCATTACTTCATGTAAACCATATATCAAAATTTATGTCTATAGTGATGTTACTTTACCAACAATACTATAGCCTCACAAATAAGATTTTGAAACCGAGTTGGACAACGACTCGTTACATTTGGACATGTAATATAAATTAAAATAAACTATATTACCCTTCTGTATTGGTTTACTGAAAGAAAAACAGTTGAACATCATTAAGATATTACCTCTGTAAAATTCTCGTCTGATAGCTTACAGATGGGGGACTCTTCTGGAGAGTTGAAAAATTGCAAAGAAGTTTCTGCACTCATATGTCCATTACTCGATAACTTGACACCTGTGGGAAAAGAATAGAGAAGATTTGTAAAGGTATTCGTATCTATATATCTACAAAGGAAGAAACTTCCTTGAAAATGAAGAAGAGTCCAAGAAATAATGAAAAACGTATGAGAACCAAAATTCTGAACTTTAAAGAATACATAGAAGATGTGATCACCTTCCCAGAGGAAACTTATTTTTCGCACTTGCATTCTAGTATACGAATTAAAATACTTTCATTTGAAAGCCTGACTAGACAATGTGAAACTACACATGCAAGGCAGGTAAGTTTATCATGACATGATACAATCACCCAGAATACAGAACCAGCTCCCAATTAAGTAAAGGCATGCTTGCCACACAACAAGCGCCATTGAGGAACTTTCATTCCATAAGATTTTCATTTCAGGAACTTCAAGAGCCAGAAGTTCAAGTTTACCTTTCAAGAAGTTGAAGATCAAGTTCTTGATATTTATAATTCTTTGTTCCATATTCTGTGCATTATTGACTTTTGCAACAAGTCCAAGAGTGATAAAGATTAAAGTATACCTTTTTTAAAAATAGGAAGTAGAAAACTTCATAATTAGAATAAAATTTACAAATGAAATTTCATGATGGATGAGTGATCCAATCCTATAATAAAAACAAAAACGAGAAATGCAGATGAAAAAGAGACCAAAAATAAAGAACAAGAAGGAAAACCAAATTGACACCAGAACAGAATTACAAAACAAATCTCCCCTACACACACCTAACCAAAATATCTTCCCAGCTCAACAATATTAAAGAAAATAGAAAGTCTTTAAAAGAGGATTAAAGTAAGCTTGAAGTAGCATTTTCAAGAAAATACCTTTAACTTGCAAGAGCTGGTGAGAATTTCTCTGCAAATAGTCATTGGGATTACATTTGACTCTTACAAAGCTCCCCACAACTTTGCTATCAAAGCTTTCTGGTTGCTTCAACAGTTCCTCCACCAAACTCTTCTTCAAGTAAATGAGCTTGATATTCTCAGCACTTACTGATGCGAAACAGCTTTTTGGCACATCCATATGTGCTTTTGTCTTTTGATTTTCTCTAGCTGAGCCCGAGATCCTTTGCCTTTTACATTTATCATCTGTATCCTCAGAACTGCTCCATAACCCATCATCAGTGGATTGCTCAAAATTTTCAGCAAAATGGGCATGTAAAAGCTTACTCAAACTATTCTTCAACAAACATTTCCTTCCAAAGAGAGATTGTAGCTTTTCATCACAAAGAATTCTCTTCTTTTTCTCTGGATCAAAAAGCTTGTTTTCTTTACAATAATCTGTGATTATGGAAGTAATGTCATATTGTGACAACTGTTTCGTTGTGTCTTTGCCAACAAAAGCAAGGAACTCCAGGAGTGATTTTGATCCCCATCCAACAAACTCCTTCGATTTTGCTTTTCTATTCCTGACACGTGACCGTCTCTTGGACGCACTTCTTTTCTTAACTGATTTGCATTCCTTGACATCCTCCAAATCATCATAATCAGATACTAGAAGATGACTATCTCCTTCAGATTCACCAATGTTTTCTTCAATTTTTCCAGTTTCAAGAGAATACAAGTCACCCCTATAATTCTCACCCTTCTTTAGTAAGTCATCAGCAGAATGAACACATTTTCCTGATAAGCCTTCTTTCTTCTTGATATTCTCCCAGTAGCTCAAGAAAAGGCACTCATATGTGTTTATATCTTTGAAATCTACTGGGACCTTTAAAACAAAGGACATCAAGAGAGTAATGAGTAACATCGTAGATGTTCTTTATGATAAATCTAAAGAGAGAAACAACATCCCATTCCCTAATCCAAGCAAATAAATAAATAAAAACCCTGTGATCACCCCTGGTATACAATAAAAAAGGATAGCTAAAGTAAATTTGAGAAATAGCACAAAAAGTTTTAGGGCCTAAAATGTAAAAAATTGATACCGCAAACATTAAACACTTTATCAACTAGATGCTGTAAAGAATGTTTATACTGATTTGATTACACTCCCGGTCAAAAGGTGAGCAATAAAAGATAGATTGCTTGAGCACCACGTGCAGGGTGAAAATATCTCACCTCATTGTTGTTTATAGTAAGACAGAATAGTATTAGATTTGAAAAGGTTGAAGATAAATTGTTACCAAGCTTATGCTAAACAGACAAACTTTCCCACTCTGCCCTCACATGAAGACAAACATAACAGACTGAATCTAAAAGATACGAAGAGTAAAAGGGAAAAGAAAGAAAAAAAACAAGAAAGGCGCAAAGCAAATAAGGCTCCTTTACAATAACATTCCTTTCTTATAGAATAGAAACAGCAGCTAATGTGGAAATGACATTATCTTGCCCCTACAGCAGAACTAGTTGTTCTTGTTCAAAGGTATAATCGATGATAACCATGCCTCCGTACCCATTAAACACATATAAGCTACATGTACATATATTTCAAAGAATGCTTTCACAAAAATAGTCAGAAATCATGAATGTCATACCCCATTTGAATCAACATTTGATCCATTTTCAATGAGTAACGCAAGGCTCAAACACTGCTGGCAGAATCCTTTATTCCCTCCGATGAGAACAAACTCAGCATCAAAGAGACACCGACCACATACAGCTTGCGGGCAGCAAAAGCAATAAAACTTCGAAGCCTTTTGGCAAATGAAGCAAGAATGCCACCCTGAAATGTAAAACTATGAGTTGGTGCCTAGTAGGATTTTAAAAAAAAAAAAAGAAGAAGAAGTGATGCAACCTAAATATTAGACTACTTATTATGTAACAAAATTACAAAATTTTAGCTAGGCGTGATTTAGTTGAAAAGATGAGAGTTTGACATAATCATAACAAACAGTCAAGGAGAGAAAGACAAAGAAATATTTTGAACATCAATATGTCTTCAACATACTGAAAATTGAAATATTTTATCAATGATTCCATCAAATGAAAAACGAAACATTTCATTTTGTTAAGAAGCTAAGTATGACTAAGGGAGCGTTTGGTAAAGGGATTCGTTCCCTGATTCGAATCATGATTCGTAGTTCACTACAGTATTTTCTCTCACAAAAAATACACGTAAATCAAAAATGGTTCGAATCACATGGTTTGAATCCTCCAACCAAACGAACCCTAAGTATAAGAGGACTCCTCCAAATTGATTTTGAATGAAAATGTAGGGGTTATGGGGATCAGCAAAAAGGAGAGAAAGGCATACGAAAAGGAATGAACGACACAAAACTTCTGACAAGTACTGACCAAAAGGTATCTTCTTTTGTGCATATTTTTTAAACCAAGTGCTTAAAAAGCAGAGATGCGTTGACAATGATAAGAGACACTAGAAGAAAGTAGTATCAAGAGAATGGTTTAGTAGTAGCTTACTGCAATTCCATTTCTTTCCAGATTTCATGAAAGCATCATCTTTCCCAACACATTCGGGATGATAAGCTTTAAGACAGTTCCTGAAAATTTGTCACACACATTATGCATTGAACTTCGAAAGAGAAGGCAAAAAGTCATGAGGAGTTTCTCATTCAATATAAGGAATAATTTTTTTTGATAAATAATATAAGGAAAATGTTGATTAGCTTTCATGAATTACCCAATTATGTCTGAGCAAGTGGAATATAGAAACGGACAAATTTTGAAGACCATATTACCAGTTAATAGCTACTTTTTTAAATAAGAAAACTTCATTTTATGGATAATAAAAACCCTTAAAGAAATATTAAATGAAACTTTATTTGCTTAATCATCTAAGTTAGAAAATGGGTACCCAAATCGGTATAGCTAATTCTGAACACTAAAAGTTATTAAAAAAAATGATAAAGTTTTTCCATGTTTTTAAAGAACTGACTTGTAGTCACAGATTATAAGGTATCCTCCATCTTTGCAATTGAAGCAGAAATCTTCACAAATTTCTTCTTTCCTTATCCCGCCCTTCTTCGGCATTTTCTTCAACTGCAGCTAGTTATCTGCTAAATCGTCAAAACCTCATTTTAGAACAAACCCACAAAAACTTGAAGATACTAGTAGAACCAACAGATACTGAAAACATGGAATGTAACCCATTTAAAAAGAAAACTGAAAAAAAAAAAAAAGAGTTTTTAGAAAAAGCAAGGTTGAAGCTGAAGATAGTACTACAGTTAGAGAAAACATGGAAGAAAAAACCCATAAATTGGAGAACCCATTTTAGAAGAAAGCTGAAAAAGAAAACCCATACATTTTAGAATAAAGATGAAAATAGGGGTTTGAAAAGCAACAATGCAGGGTATCTGAAACGCTTCTGAGACATTTACAAAACTTGTATTCCACGGAGAAAGTTGCTCTTTTCTAACAGTTTGTCATGCTTTTTTACTCATTACATGAGCATAAATAGTAAGATATATATATATATATATATATATATATATATTCATTTGATAGGCAAAGTTCAACTCTACATTACGGAGCAAAGCAATGGCGGTTTTCAGGGGTCTTTGAGCAGAGAAATAGCCAGCCAAACAAACAAACAAACAGGGCACATAGGGTGCGTTTGGAATTGGTTCCAAAACGTTTTTATTTTCTGTACGAAAATGAAAATGAAAACGTTTTTAGTTTCATTTTTGAATTATTTCTAAAAATGCGTTTGGTAGTTTTATTTAGAGATTGATTTCAGTTTTAAAAAAAACTGAAACTGCGTTTGGTGGTTTAATTTTTGAAAACATGTAATAATATATTAAATAAATAA